TTCTATAATGATTCCCTTGTTCTACTGCTCAGAGGTAGTTGCCCTTATGGGATTAAATTTAGGAAATGAGCCATTCAATCTTTTTAAACACTATTTAAATTTTTTCTTTATATGTACAATTAAAGTGTAACAAAACTCAAGAACAGTCCTTAGATGTGGTGGCTACATTTTCTTTAGGCTTTTTCCACCTTATTGTACCTGGGGATCTTGTCACATTCATTGCACTAGGGTGACAATTCTCCTGCATCCACTGTTGTCACCCTTGAGCAGGGGTGTGTTAGGACTACAGAACATTTCCCGTTTAACATTTTATAACCTAGAGTAGAGGTTTTCTAGCCCAGAAGAAGAAGTCAAGTGGGCAGGGCTGATAACATTGCTTGAGATTTCAGTGCACAGAACGTTTCAAGCTCACTGAATTTCCTTCAGGATCAACAGCCATTATATTTGCACTTAACGGACAGAGTTAGGCAAATACTTGTAAAGGTTTATTTAACAGGCCAAAATGGATCAAATAAGAGAAGTCCAATGGGAGGATTTACAGACACTTTAATAGAAAACAGACAGTTGTTTCATGTAGGTGTACTTACAAACTCTCATTGATTTCTTCTAGTGAAGCAGACTGGTCATGCCAATTCTCTATCTAGTAGAAGGGGTTAATAAACAGTTTGTTGAGACATTCATTTTCTCCCTGAACACATAGTACCCTCTGGATAAAGATAATAACACACCACAGGGTGTTAAAACTCATGTAACACTACAGACTGAAAGCAGAGGCTCCAAGTACCGTGGTGCTTGTTAAACATTGAACCCAATGTTCCCTGGAAAATATCAGATCTTAAACAATGACTTACATGAATTATCTAGCTGTACCTTGTGGAAAGAATTTGATTGCAGGTTTTTTTTTCCTTAAATGGACAAACCTGACAATAAAGAAGCATGTTGGAGTTCACATCCTGTTTCTTAAAGGGTGGATGTGTTTGGCTGTTCTTCTCTCTCATTTCACATTTATTAGTTAGATCATAGGCACAGGCGCAGGAGATACTTGGGGGGGGGGGGGGGGGTAATTTATCAAAAACAAAATCTGGAGCAGTTGCCCATGGCCACAAATCAGCTTCTATCTTTAGTTTGTTCAGTTAAGCTTTGAAAATCAAAGAGAGAAGCTGATTGGTTACCATGGACAACTGTTCCAGATTCTGTCTGCTCCATTTCTTAGAAATCCCCCCCACCAGCACCGTTTTTGTTTCTCAGAAATTTGCTACTAAACAGTGCTTACAAACACTGATTAGTATAAGCAGTGGGGGGAGCAGCAGCAGGTGGTGAGGGATAGGGCGTGCTACGTATGCCTATATACTTCGGTTAAGTTTATTTGGGCGTATGTGTTAGGTCCGAGGTGTAGGCCCGATGTGATGAGGAGGACCTCCCTTGCAAACCCGTCTGATGATCACTGGGGTGAAGACAGTGGGCTCAGGCAGGGGGTGCATAGGTGCCGGATCAGGATTTCCAGGGATCTGCAGTGGTGGTAGTTGAGCAGAGTAGGGCTTTAAATAGGCTGAGAAGTTGTACTGCGCGTGCGCAGCGTCATGACGTCACGCCGTGTTGGGCGGATCCCGCCGGGTCACAGGGCATCTGCGGTTTTATTATAATAATACTACATGATTTATATAGCACCAACAGTTTGTGCAGCTCTTTACAATATAAGGACGACATTACAATAAAATTCAAAACAAGATGGTTACGAGGGCCCTGCCCCGCGAGAGTTTACAATCTACAAGTCAAACTAGTTTCCCTTAACAGAGCCGCATAGCATAATTAAAAGCTTAAGCTGGCCCCACATTTATCCAATTTTGTCCAATTCCTACTCAATTGAATGAAATTTGATCTGTGGTTGGCCCTACTGGCAGCACCGTTTCAATAAAAGTCTATAGTCTGTACCTACCTGTTGCCCTCGAGTGGGCACACCTGCACATGTTACTTTGTATCTCTGAATCACGCTACTAACAGTGTTTACAAACGCTGATCAGAAGATTAATTTTTGACAGCAGTGGCTAGTGCCAGCTATTTACACAGTATGTCCTGATGGTGGGGCTGTCAGGGAAGTTGGGCAGCAGGGGGTGACAGACAGGGCGTGCTACATATGCCCTATATATGTAGATGATGTTTATTTGGGCATATGTAGCACACGTAAGGTACAAGTCTGATTAAACTCATTTCCCCAGCAGAGTTGTATGGTATAATAAGAGGCTAAAGCTGGCAATACATTTATAAAATTTTGGCCAATTCCTGCTTCCAGTTCCTGCACACAGCTAGACAAATGACTGGGGGAGTTGGGCAGCTGTGGGTGACAGGGCAGGACAGGATGTGCTACATATGCCCTATATATTTAAGTGAAGTTTATTTGGGCATATGTAGCACACCTAAGGTACCAGACTGATTAAACTAATTTCCCCTAGCAGATATGCATGCTATAATAAGAGGCTAAAGCTGTCAATACATTTATCAAATTTCAGTCGATTACGGCTCCTGCACATAGTTAGGCAAAGGTCTATTTTTTTGGACTGTGTATCTGAATAAAGCTACTGCACAGCTTATACATACACTGATCACAAGGTCATTTTTTTACAGCAGGGGCTAGTGCCGGATATTTACATAGCAAGGCAGTAAAACTAATCTCCCCTAGCAGGGCACCATGGCATAGCAAAAAGATAAAGCTGACATACGCGTATCTAATTTTGGCCAATTCCTACTGAATTGGGCAAAATCTGAAATGTGGTGTCCCTGCCACCACCAGGGTGCTGGCACCACCTTGACTGCAGCTAATTGGCTAGTATTTTTTCTATTACAGGTATTTACATAGCACTGACAATTTTACAAAGCGCTTTGCACAGTACACATTCACACCAGTCCCTGCCCTCAAGGAGCTAACAATCTAAGGTCCCTATCACACATGCATACATTCGAGGGCCAATTTAGACAGCCAATTATATATAAAGATATAAAATATTGTATAGCTGTTTTGCAACCATTCAGCAAGAGAAGACCAGCAATCTTTATTTCACTTTTTCTTTGCTTGTTTATATGTTTCTCAGTATTTCCCTTCACATGGAAAAGAATAATTTTGTATAAAACCGCCGTTCTTTCCTAACGCCAAGCCGCTTATGTAGGTGTAAATCCACCAAATTGAATGCATCCATCATACTTTTGTGTATAATCTTTTAACTCAGTGCCCTCAATACTAAATACCCCCATGTGGGACGGACGGACCTGCAATGTCGAAATCACAAAGCAGAACACACTAGGAACGGGAAGACTGGAGCAAGATACAATGTTATTAAAACCATTTTTCTTCCTTGATTTCTGCCTTTGATTGAACTTTGTGATGTCAAAAAGTTCTCTGCTAATCAAATTATCATCTGGGAATGGTAATTTGTGAGCGTGATTGAACTATTCTGAATTCGGCATAGAAATTCCTATTAATCTGGAGTGCCTAATTTCAAGTCTGAGTAATTGCTAAGGTAAAGTGCTGTATTCATTTCACACGAGTTAAATAGAGCGGATTAGAGAGATGGCTGCTGGAGTAAAACATTTGCTCTGCAATTTCCTGCATGGTGCTGTGCGGATACAGCCTCATGTCAAGTGTAAATCACTTTTTTCTTAAATTATGCCCAGTGATGGCTATGGGTCTACAGGTAAAAATTAAAGGCAATCTATAGATTATCTTTTTTTAGATACTGTATATGTGTGAAAAGGTTAAAGTTACACTTCAGCCAAAGCTGAAAATTAAACCATGAACTATATTGTTGAGACACTGCCGGTCTACGTATTTTTGTTCTATTATCCAGGTTTAGCTGTAATGAGGAAGGATTACAGCCTCTGTTTTGTTTTTATGGTCATAACAAAATCACAATTGCTTCTGCCATTCAGCACTGGGGGTCCTCGGTTTGAATCCTGGTCAGGACAATATCTGCAAGGAGTTTGCATGTTCTCCCTGTACTAGCATGCGTTTCCTCTAGGTATACTGGTTTCCCTCCACACCCCAAAGATATGATGGAAAATTATTTGGCTTCTGTCTAAATTAGCCCTGTATGTGTGTGCAATATGGACCTTAGATTGTAAGCAACTTGAGGGCAGGGACTGATGTGACTGTGCAGTATGTATAGTCCTGTGTAAATTGTTGGCACTATATAAGTACCTTTAAAAAAAATATATA